AATCACAGCTTACGGAAATATTATTAAAATGTCACAACTACATTTTTTTCCTCTCCATTTTCCTATCATTTACATGGCCGAGTTATAGAACCGCACACAGAAATAAAACACATTTTCCAGGTTGCAGTTTAGCCAGTAACTGAACATGCCCTATCACGTTTTGTATTTGCTGAACATGCCTCAGTACTTGTGGGATCAGTACACAACACTAGTACCAAAACTAAAAACCTCGCATTACAAGAAGTAAAAGAAATTCACAGGACACAGCACCTTATAGACAGAGCTAAATATCACTACCACTGCTTAAAAATAATTACAAGCAAAGAAAGAGCTATTTAAAATGCCATACAGACAAACGGGGTGGGGAGAAAGGAAGATTCATCCCTGAGGCACAGTGGTAGCTTAATTCTGCTAGGCCACAGGCATGAAGGAGTTTTCTCAGCGGTAGCACTGAGGGGGTCACCTCCCACCCAACCACCTAGGATGGTACCAGCTGACACCATGAATAAGACCTAACTGTCTTATTCAGAGCCCAGAGCACCAACTAAAATGAGTGATTACAGGCCCTACCACCTCTCCAGGCTTTGCTGCCTGCACTCTGTTCCAAGAGAAGAATCCAAAAGCAGGGAAGGGGAGAGAAGCGACAGAAAACTGGCAATTCTCACACTGCATCTAAATCCAGGAAAGATCATGAATTATTACTCTGCATTATTACTCTGATGATATATATTAGTTAACTCACTCTATCTCATAACCTATGAATACAGAAGAGATTTACTTTCCTGTATCTTGGCTAACTCATGTACTATTTGAGCTCTTCTAAGAGCTAAGTAACCTAGTTAAGAAATAAAAAAGCAGACTGCAAACAAATGGATTTTTTCAAGGCCTTTGGTCAGCTCAAACAAATCCTTTTCCATACAGGTTGTTCCTCAGGTTAATGCCAATTATTTTAGAACCTCTGGCAATCTCTCTGAGTGAGGCTATATCCTACAGTTTAATTTAAAGAACGGAAGACAGAAGAATTACACTACAGAACACAAGTGCTCACGGCACTCCAAGATTGAACTGGAGAAAAAGACTGCAGAGCATCTTAGATGATGTCTCCTTGGATAGATAAGATTATAAAGTTATTTTTGCTCTCTTCTTGCATGATTAACATATGAAATTCCCTAATTATCCTGCGCAGAAAATGGCTACAGGTATCCTAGGTCATGCATAGTTAAGGACAAAAGCAGGCCCATTCAAGATGATTACAGAGATTTAACAGGTTTGTGAAGAGTCAGCAATGCAGTGGCAAAATGTCTTCAAAAGGATGGGATCTGACATTTACTGTACAATAAAACAAAATTAAAGGAAAGGAAAAAAGAGAAAAGGAGCAAATACTGGGGGAAATAAATCAGTACATCATACTACCTAAAAAATTAGATAAGACTATGCAGTTATCACACAAAAATAAACCTTCCCAAAGGTAATGAAGACGTGAGTCTCTGCAGAATAGAAAGCGCCCTGGTTGGCGCCCGCCGGACGGGACAGATTTCGCTGCGGTGACGGCCCCGCTAAGGGCTGCTGCCGGCTGTGCCAGGAGGCCCCGCGGATCCGGCCCAAGAGGAAGGACCCTGCGCCCTCCCCTGCCAGAGGAGCAGAGCACCCAGGCTGGAAGCAAGCTTGGCCAACGTGAAAGACAGCACAGACCAATTCTTGGAAGGAGATAAAGAAAGGGAAAGACTAGGATTGCTTAGACAAAGCCATGCAAAGCCAAAACTACTCATACAAGGATTAAATCCTGTAAAAGTGAAGGAAGTCAGTAGATAACGGATAAGGAAAGGGGAAAAGAATGGACAGATAGACTAGGACTGTCAAAGTTAAGATTGATTGTGGAAAAGCTTTGCTCGATCCCCTTTTGCCTGTGTACAGCAATACTGTATCTATTCATATCTAACAGACTTTCCATCTTTTTCCTGGGATACTAACTTATTCCATTCCCAGCTGACATAAGCATCATCTTTTTAAAAATCCCTTCTTTATGCTGATCAAGTTCTATCTGAAGTCCTATCAAATATTTTAGGCAGTTTGTTTGAATTCACAGAGGATAGGAACCCTCTGAACTACATGAAGACTCAGTGAAAGCTCTGTATTGTATAAAGATATTTCTGAAAGGTCAAATGCTCTGGAAAGCCTATCCATAGTCTCAATTGAGCACTCAAAATTATTATTTACTCTGATAACCTATATTTGCAGTGGCTGTAAACACAAAAGATTATATTCTTGGATTGCAAAACGGTATGAAAAACAAATCCATTAATATCCAAGAACTATTAATATAGAGAAAACTTGAAGGAAAACACTGCCTTCACCATTAGAACAAGGTCTAGTAATGCAATGTTTAGTAAAAGAGTGTATATGGCCATATACTCAACAAGCAGAAGAAATTCATTGAGTATAATCAGTTCTGAATAGTGAATGAAACCAGTATCCTGTAGAAGAATCAGTACATAATTCTTATCGCTTAGAAAAGGCTTAAGAAACAAAACATATGGGTCAGGAATGTTAATTCTAGCACTTCTTCATTCTTGACCTCTTGACTTTGAAAACTGAATAGACTTTCTCCAGCCTATGCTCATCAATGCACAGAGAAACCTAATGTACGAGGTGACACAGGAATGAAAAAAGGATAGAAAAGATAGCTTTTGAAGGGCCGACAGCTTGAACTCTCCGTACAACTAGAAGCAGTAATTGGTGAGCTACATCTCAGGGAAAAGTGCTAAATCTCTCTCTTGAAATTAGAGTGAACAGAGCAATAGAAAAGGGTATAAACAAAGGAAAATTTCATGTGGCTTAATATAAAAGTATGCTGAAGTGCTCCGTACTTGCGACTTTGGATGCTGTATACTGTAAACCACAGCAAGAATTTATAGCTCAGCGAGTAAGTGTGCAGGGCAGATAGTGGGGACTCACAGCAAACTCAAACCTTAACTGTATTTAATTCACCTATCTATTTTCTGATGAGAAAAGGGTAAGAAATTTCAGTTTCTAGATCCTTTGTTTCAGTTTCTAGAAATTTCAGTTTCTAGATCCTTTTGATTCTAGATCCTTCATACAGACTGAATGGCTTTGAATCAAGTTCAAACAATTTAGAACATATACACAGCTAAAATTTTAAGGGGGTTGTACACAAGAGCTTATGGAGTGTCAGCTAATTCCTTTTAACTTACACACTCAAATCAAGGTATACTACAATATACTTAATTTGAAGAACAATTAAAATTCTTAGAGTGAACTCTGCAATTCTGTACATATATTTTGTTTTCTGCAACACGCGTCAGATATCCCACTAAACAGCAGAATTGAGCTACTCCACAGAAAAGGAATTTTAAGCAACTCGAATGACTCGATAAATGTGAAATGACTCGAATAAGGTGAAACTTCACTTCTAACAGGAATTTCCATGGGATGTGAACAGGCTAGTTGTCATAAATCTAGATCTTGCCATGGCAAAGTAGCCATGTTCAGGTTAGCATTATTTGGGAGTATGTCCTTTAATCTGGGTCTTTTCAATCATTAACACTGCTTGTATAGCTTCAGGTAGTTCGACAGGCCATGAAGTTAGCAAGTTATTTCAAATCCAGCTAGCATCAGACTATATACGCTGCGGCAGGGAATTCCAGGCATTGAGCAGGTCTTGGGTTGAATATCTTCTATAAAAGGAAAAGCTACTTTACACCCAGATGTCCAAACACACACGAAAAAGATTTTATCTATTTCAATATAAAGTCATGTATTGTACAAGTGAGTCACATGGCATATTCTCAGTATCACTGTCATTTCTCTGATAATACCATCTTTATGCCTCCTGCTTTTAGGCCTGTTTTTCTCACCAAGTTTTCACTCTTTGCTTCATCCTCCCCCCGTCTATTCCTTCTCTACCCCATTTTCCATGCAGCAGCAATGGGAGGCAGCGTGCAGAATGAGCAGTTACATATACACACACTCATCCCCTGAGGGGAGAACTAGCCAAGAATGCATTGGACAAAAATACAAGGAATATCAGCTTTCAAGTAAAACCAACCTAGGCCAAGATGAATCAACCGAGGCCACAAGCCTTGCATTGCCCAGTGTCCTATTGCACAGGAAGGAAAGGAAAGTAAAACTTCCTTGTTCTGCTGACCAAGAACTTCCAAAGGGCAACGTTCCAGAGGCAGCTTCCGCAGCTACCGCACGGCCACTACTTTCAGCCCCATCCTGGATAGAAAAGACATCCATTTCTTATGGTACTGGCCTGGGTTCCTCTGCATATTCAAACTGCAAACCAAGGAAACTTCCCATAGCCACAGCACTTATGGGCAACGTGCCGCCAGCAAAGTGTCATAAAAGCATGTTTTAAATAGCATACTACAGCATCTTCCACCTCCTTTCCCATCCCAAAACAGTATCCTCAATAAGTTCTACATTAGGAAAGAGAAATAAGACAAGAAATGTACAGCAAATAAAAAGCTAGGGAAATACATTTATACAAAACTTTACAGTCAAGACTCAAGCTGACAACACCTGTGGCTTGAGGCTGGCTGAATATCTGGGTGAGCAGAGCTGATTCAGCAGCACTGAGATCACACACAGATGCTGCAGATCAGAATCTGCTTTAATACACTGAGAAAAACCTGCATAAAGCAAGGACTGACAACCCAACAGACACCATCATGCAGATAACTACATGTTTTAACAAAATAACAAATGAAATCTTTCATTTTGAGTTGTTAAACAAGACACTAATGCAGTATTTTTCCGCTCTTGGGGAAAGACAAAGTGTTTCAGTGCGTGGGGAAAGGGAAAGACAGGAAGGAAGAAAGATTACAGTGCTTTGTAGGCAGTGCTTTTTCATTATATATCCCCACATATTTTACTAGGAACATTCTGCAAAATTAAGAGCAAAGCGTATTTTAGCAGTACTGTTTTAAATTATGAATCAGAAAAAAAATACGGAAGTGTTTTCAAACTAATGTTACCTTGGAAAAACGAGCATTTATCCATTTTGTAAAGGTCTTTTTCTGTACATCGTTATGTTCATCTGGAAAGATAAAATGAGAAGAAAAGTATGAGTGAAAACACATTCTTCTTAATCCTCTATTGTTCAAAACAGATCATTTTAAGCAATACCCAGTCTCAGTGAGAATACATTTCTGCCAAACCCGTCAATAAAGCTGTTGAAATCTGTATAAAACTCTGTTACCTGTAGAGCCACACAAAGGTTTCAACTTTAATAGAAACCACCTGCCCTCCTTTGCATTCGAACCAGGCTCTCTCAGCACTTTCTAGGAAGGACACACAAGTATCAAATCCACAGGCTTCCTGGCTGCTGAAGTTATGAAACTAAACCAGACTTTCCCAGCATCTTTGCCCACATACATTACTCTAAAAGTTGCTGGGATCCTTATTCAAGCTTCTGGTACAAGTAAAGGCTTGCTTCCTTCAGGAAAGAGCTGCCAAAGATGTTGCAACGGCTGCTCTAGTACCCTCATTTTTAACCACCCTCTGCCTGTTTTTAGTCCTGGGCTGAGAACCACGTCAGTGATCGCTCACGGGCTGAACGTAGAGGCAGGCTGGGCAGCCAGACGGGCACCTGCAGGCACTGAAGAAACATCAGCTGGGATCCAGGCAGCAGCCAGACGGAGCAGCAGGGTTACGTGTGGGAGAGCACTTAGAGGTCAAAGCCAAGGGAAGAGCAGTGGCTACCAGGCAAACAGAACAAAATCTGCATCTCAGGTTGTTTTTGAGAGAGACGTTTGGAAGCCACCTGCAATTCTGTAACTCTCACTAAACCAGGCTGACTCAGCTCCCGCGCAGCGCGGCCCGCACTGCAGGCCGCCTCTCTGGTGAAGAGCCCCGAGCGGCGCCACAGGCCGGCCCAGGCCTCGCCGGCTGCCCGTGAAGGACAGTGAGTGACCTGCTGACAGGAACGAGGCCAAGGGAATTCACCCACCTAACTGCCAGCTGGCACCCATTTTGTAACGGATCGCCAGCAGCGGGTTCACATCCTCTGTCCTTTCCTTGGGATGAAGCCACAAAAACCTGGGCTAAAGCTTGTAAGTGTTCCACTTAATAAAATCATTAAAAGGAAAAAAATACACACAAATCTGCAGAGAATTCAGATTATGATCAAAAAGCACTGCTAAAAAGATTATAAGCTTCAAACTGCAGCAGTTGAGATGGCATTGCAGTTAAGTTTTACCTATAAACCCCAGGCAACATTTACAAAATGCCCAGACTCTACCAGGAGGTGTCTCAAGTAGATGGTCTCAGAAGCTTGCTCTTCCATGTGACATAGGCAACTGATGCCATCGTATCTAGCGAGATATAACTAGCCAGGCATCTCCTATACTACGGTGCCCTAGAACAAGTGACCAGGTGCTTTTGGCGTAAGAAACACAGACTAGTAATGGTCACAAGGGCTTGGTCTGGACAGGAACAGAAGCAATATCAGTAAGGAATATGAGGTAACAAAGTCTATAAAACTTAATAAACTTTATGAAAACTCTTCATATAAACTTAAAGCCTCAGGTCTGGGCTTCTTTTAGGCTACTGCTGCAAAACCAGTCTACAGCATCTCAAGGAGAATGTATCTGCTGCAATGCTGTGGACAGCTGTCACTGTGTCACCTTCCTGTGCTTCTCCCTTCTGTTATCTAAATTCACCCAACATAGCTGACATTTTTCTTATACCTTAAGATCAATAAACTGCATTGGACCAGCCCTGGTTTCTTGTTTTTCAGGATGGAGCCTATGGTACCTGTATAGCAGACCACACTTAAAGACATCTATCTGTAATCCAAGGTGCTGTTCTGAGCGAATACAATTACCTAAAATATCTCACTAAACTTGCTTTTTTCCTCCCTTGAAATCGAGCTCTGTTGGCATCACAGATGAAAAGGAACCATCACCATGATGCTCTGGGCAAGGTACCCGTCTCACAGAAGCCTACCAAAGGCAAAAGCTGAACTCCAGCTATACCAAAGATTGCCCTTTTTCTTCGAGCTTTTTGCCTAAGACACAGGAGACAGGATTACTAATTGCTACTAGTGAATGTCTTCATAGTTCTGTCAAAAAAAAAAAAAAAATCGAAGTTCTGGCCATCTCTTTATAAGGCTTTCCATTTACAGTAATTGCAAATTCTATCTGCTTTGAATGTATCAATAAAATAAGAATTAGATTTCCCTTTCGGTATAACTCAGCTAAAATGCTAGAGAAGTTACCAAATTCTCTCCCTTTCCAGCCAATATCCCCCAACTGCGCAGCTACCCCAATGCTTTCCTAAGGCTTGGTCTGCCTTTTTCCATCCCTAAACTTCTCTAAGGATCAATAATCCCAAACAAGGTTTGTGGTCTCATATTCTTTTAAAGCAGTTGTGCCCTACGAAGATAATGAAGTCAAATCATGACGAAGGGGAGAAAAAAAAAGACAGAAAGAAAAGAAATAAAAAGTATCCTTTCACACACTGACTGTGTAAAAGAACAATTATGAAGACAGTTTTGGCTTTTATAAATCCTCTGCACCAAGAGCTTTGGACCTCCTCTCAGCTTCCTCCCTCTCTCAGCCCCTTCATGTACAGAAGGGCTCACAACTCTTTTCCTCCTGCACTTCAACATGACACTACTATATGTCTAACACAAGTGTTTTAGATTCCACCTTGACTGGAAAAGTGTTTGTTCTATAAGCAACAATTTTAGCAATTGGTCATTACAGCTAGGGTTGTGTTAAGCTTTCTGCTGCAAATCTCTGGAAAGACGAAAGGTTTGTAAACGAAATGCCAATACTTCATTAACAATGATAAGTTATTTTTCTGCATCTAATTAATCTCTAGATTCCTGTGAGTGTATAAAGGTAACCCCTGGTAGTTAAGAATGATTCAGATAACAAATTAGCTACATTCAGTTAAAAAAAAAAAAAGTATTACCATTCAGCAGAGCACATGGCACTACACACATACAACTTCTCAAGCAAGACATAAGGAATGTCAGCAGTCATAGACAAGTGAGAAAAACTCACAGAGTCACTAACACACTTGTGTTCCCTTTCATATGGCTTCATACGGCCTCAACAGGAGCAGGGCTGCACAGAGGGGGAGGACTGAGCACAAACCAAGCCCTGCTTCATCACTGTACAGACTGCTTCCTCCAAGAGGTGCAGCTTTGCCTGCCCTCAAGTCAGCTAATGGAATCCTAATGGCCCACAGTCAGAACACTTTGTTCCTTTAAAGGAAAATTAAAAAAAGAAAAAGGGGGGGAGAGAGAGAGAGAGAGAGAGAGAGAACACTACCCTAAACTCTTGATGACAGCAGAACAAAGAAAAGCTTCCTGTTCTGGAATCCTGTTTGCTGAATCTTGCTTGTTTCTGTCATACAACATGATGCACGCCTGCAAAACAAGTGCGTGCTCTGAACAAACATCTCTTGTGACCGAGTGCCCAAGCTTTGCCTGGGCATTTGCACACTCCCACCGGCCGCTCTCGCAGCCCTTCGCTGCCCCCTCCACCCTCAGCATCGTCCCCGAGGCGCGTGGCACCGCTTTCACACTGCAGTCCATTCCCAACCTACTGCTTTGTGATTACCATGTGCAGATGCTAAAAGAAATTTCACTGATCTAAATACAGAAGAGAAATGAAAGACAAAAACCTCACTGGTTTGTGGTTTGCCCTTCAGTTCACCTCTGCATCATTCTGAGAGACAGCTTCCTCATTTTTCCAAAACCCATTGCATGGCAGAACTGTACTACTTAGTTCTTGAAAGATGGAAGTTATCACAGGCAGGAGAGCTTGCAGGGCACCACTGCAAGGAGAGTGCCCTGGAGAGCTTTACAGACCGGACTGGGCAATTCCCATGGTTTGTTCGCCAACAGCTCCAGCAGAAATTACCAAGGGTCATCTCTAGCTCTTCATTTACACCTTGAACTGTAAGGCACATAAAAGTTCTCTTTTTCCACAGTAAAGAAATTAGCCTGGGGATTTCAATTAAGACAGCAAGAATGTAACAAAGTTAGAGGCATCCCTTTGCCTAAGCCTCCAGGTGGAGATCGGCATCGCCCACCCAGGCGCCACCGGCACCCAGAGCCTCACAGGAGTCACCGGGAAGAGAGTTTGTGCGTTACAGGCTTCTCTGGAAAGAATAACATCCAGCAAATAGCTACCAAAAAAAAAATCCTTTCTCTTCCCTCTCTGAACTTCAGCTGGGCAAAAATACACCCAGCAAGCTGTTTTCTCCAGAAAGACCCCTGCACCCCTCTCCCCGGTGCTTCCCCCCACCAGAACATGGCAGAAGCACAACCAGGAGCCCCCGGTTCTCACCGGAGCGTGCTGTGAGTCAGGGCTAAACTGTATTTACTTCACAGCAACTGATTTACTCTCCCAGCAACTGATAACTTAGGAGAAGGCATCCTCGCAGCTGAGGCGATATTAAAATAGCCGTTTCCATACCTCCCAGCAAAAGCCATGCGACACGCTGTGCCGCCAGCCTCGGCTCACTGCAATGCTTTTAAAAGGAAGCTGTAGAGCCCACAAAAGCTCTCAGACACAGAAATAACACTGTGACTCCACACAAAAGGCCTTCTCCAACACCCACACCTATCACTCAACTACTGTACTGTGTTCACACAGTGACATCGCAAAGTAAGAATTCCAGGCCGAGTGTCACAACACCCCCAGCAGACCCATTATGAGAGGGGCAGGCCAACACCCGCGCAGTCAGGGCTGCTCTAGAGGCACCAGCGCCCCAAATCCTGCCTTACGTTTCCAGGCAGCCTGCAGGAACAGAGGGGAGCAAAGCGAAGAACAGACAGCAGGGGGAAAGGGGGCAGAGACAAGAGGCCTGCAGGTCTGTCTCTCTCCTACCACAGCCGCGTCTCCAAAGCCAGTCCCTGGCGTGCCACAGCTTTAGCAAGGCCCATGGACTGTATGCGTAACCCTGAGGTAACAGAGGAAACTGAGACACTGGATTGGCAGAAGCACCTCCGCATGCAGCACTGGCGGGCCAAGGGGACCCCCATGGCATCCAGCCAGGCCTTCACTCCAGACACCCACA